GAGTCAACTGGGGGGCTTCACGCCACCACCCAACGCTCTCACCCCTCACCCCCCCCATTGACCCAAGCATCTTGAGTCTTTGGGTGCCCCCAATGTTTGGGTGCCCCCCCTCCATCCAAGGGGACCCAGGGGTCACCAGTTGGGTGCTGGTGACCATCAACCCCGTGATGGTGTCAACTGGGGTCTTCACGCCACCACCCAACGCTCTCACCCCTCTCCTCTCCTCCCCTGCTGACCCAACTGTCTTGAGCCTTTGGGTGCCCCCAACATTTGGGTGCCCCCCCCCCTCCTCTTTAGGGGGACCCAGGGGTCCCCAGTTGGGTGCTGGTGACCATCAACCCCATGATGGAATCAACTGGGGGGCTTCACGCCACCACCCAACGCTCTCACCCCTCTCCTCTCCCCCCCTGCTGACCCAACTGTCTTGAGCCTTTGGGTGCCCCCAGCATTTGGGTGCCCCCCTCCATCCAAGAGGACCCAGGGGTCCCCAGTTGGGTGCTGGTGACCATCAACCCCATGATGGAATCAACTGGGGGGCTTCACGCCACCACCCAACGCTCTCACCCCTCTCCTCTCCCCCCCTGCTGACCCAACTGTCTTGAGCCTTTGGGTGCCCCCAGCATTTGGGTGCCCCCCTCCATCCAAGAGGACCCAGGGGTCCCCAGTTGGGTGCTGGTGACCATCAACCCCATGATGGAATCAACTGGGGGGCTTCACGCCACCACCCAACGCTCTCACCCCTCTCCTCTCCCCCCCTGCTGACCCAACTGTCTTGAGCCTTTGGGTGCCCCCAGCATTTGGGTGCCCCCCTCCATCCAAGAGGACCCAGGGGTCCCCAGTTGGGTGCTGGTGACCATCAACCCCATGATGGAATCAACTGGGGGGCTTCACGCCACCACCCAACGCTCTCACCCCTCTCCTCTCCCCCCCTGCTGACCCAACTGTCTTGAGCCTTTGGGTGCCCCCAACATTTGGGTGCCCCCCACCCTCCTCTTTAGGGGGACCCAGGGGTCCCCAGTTGGGTGCTGGTGACCATCAACCCCGTGATGGAGTCAACTGGGGTCTTCACACCACCACCCAACGCTCTCAACCCTCTCCTCCCCCGTTGACCCAACTGCCTGGGTCCTTGGGTGCCCCCAACATTTGGGTGCCCCCCTCCATCCAAGAGGACCCAGGTGGCACCAGTTGGGTGCTGGTGACCATCAACCCCATGATGGAGTCAACTGGGGGGCTTCACGCCACCACCCAACGCTCTCACCCCTCTCCTCCCCCATTGACCCAAGCATCTTGAGTCTTTGGGTGCCCCCAATGTTTGGGTGCCCCCCCTCCATCCAAGGGGACCCAGGGGTCACCAGTTGGGTGCTGGTGACCATCAACCCCATGATGGGAGTCAACTGGGGGGCTTCACGCCACCACCCAACGCTCTCACCCCTCTCCTCCCCCATTGACCCAAGCATCTTGAGTCTTTGGGTGCCCCCAATGTTTGGGTGCCCCCCCTCCATCCAAGGGGACCCAGGGGTCACCAGTTGGGTGCTGGTGACCATCAACCCCATGATGGGAGTCAACTGGGGGGCTTCACGCCACCACCCAACGCTCTCACCCCTCTCCTCCCCCATTGACCCAAGCATCTTGAGTCTTTGGGTGCCCCCAATGTTTGGGTGCCCCCCCTCCATCCAAGGGGACCCAGGGGTCACCAGTTGGGTGCTGGTGACCATCAACCCCATGATGGGAGTCAACTGGGGGGCTTCACGCCACCACCCAACGCTCTCACCCCTCTCCTCCCCCATTGACCCAAGCATCTTGAGTCTTTGGGTGCCCCCAATGTTTGGGTGCCCCCCCTCCATCCAAGGGGACCCAGGGGTCACCAGTTGGGTGCTGGTGACCATCAACCCCATGATGGAGTCAACTGGGGTCTTCACGCCACCACCCCACGCTCTCACCCCTCTCCTCCCCTGTTGACCCAAGCGTCTTGAGTCTTTGGGTGCCCCCAACATTTGGGTGCTGCCCCCCCCCATCTTTAGGGGGACCCAGGGGTCACCAGTTGGGTGCTGGTGACCATCAACCCC